AGTGTGGTTGATGCTGCCCATCATTGAAGTTCACTCAAAAAATAATAATAAATAAATAATAATAATAATAATAATAAATAAATACTGTCATCATTTACTTACCCTTCACTTGTTCCAAACCAGTCTGCCTTTCTTTCTTATGTTTAAAACAAAAGATGATATTTTAAAGAAAGTTGGAAACCACCATTGTCTTTCGTAGTACAATTGTTCTTCATATGCTTTCTACAAATTATCTTCTAATATGTTCAGAAGCATAAATACAGAAGAAAGAAAACAATAAATGTTTGGAACCATTTGTGTGTGTGTGTGTGTGAGAGAGAGAGAGAGAGAGAGAGAGAGAGAGAGAGAGAGAGAGAGAGAGTAAATAGTGAGCCCATTTGTTGTTGAGTGAACTTAAATTCATATTGGCACTTAAGATCAGCCAATATGCTTCTTTAAAATAATTTAGGCTTGATATCTAGTATTTTTAGCTGAATAATTTAAAACATAAAGTCTTTTAACAGTAAAAGTAACTTGCGTCTGGTTGTGTGTGTGAGAGTAACAAAAAATTATATTTAATGCATGCATCAAATAGAATTTTGTGTTACTCTCACACACACTTGGTATCTTGTCTCTTCACATTAACGTGTACAATCACTGTAGACTTAGCTCAAGGCAGCGAATTTATATTATTATAATTTTTGTTTTGTGGAAAAAGTCTATTTTCACACAAAAGCAATTTTGAAAGTAAGGGATCTGTAACAACATGCATCTGCGCCATGTTTGTGAAGTTTGCACAATTTCCATTCTTGAGAAATATGGCTTCACCTAACTATTATCATCGCATATTTCAAGTTGATAAGATGTATTTCCATGTTCCATGGTACTAATTGAAACTGAGTCTGGAAGTCTGCAGTCGATCTTCTCTCTCAATCTGTTTGTTGTTTTCTTACCTGCAGAGGGCGATGTTGTACCTTAAAAATGGCATAGTCTCTGATGGCGACTTCGTCAGTCTGCTGTTCCGCTGTTTTTCACTGACATTGATGACCAAATGGTTGTGAACAGGCACAGTAGGGCAGCATTTTGTACAAGACACAGTTTTGCAGATAACAGTGAGATTATGCTTGCCATCTGAAGCATGTTTTTTTTTTTTGCAAAATGAAGGTGACTCCAGGCTGAAAATGAATCAAAACGCTCCAGAGACTCATTCCTGTCATTTTCTTTTCTTTTACTACATTGCCTTTCTGTATTTAAAATCTCTTTCGCAACATCTTAATGACTTCTAAAGTCAGTAAACAAGCAGAGTGCAAGCACTTAAATTAGTGTCAAGTCTATAGATTACTCATGGAAGATCAAAAAGTAAAATGCATATACAAGCAGTGCATCTGTCATGAAGCTTAGTCATCTCTGTGAGCTTCATCTCCAACACAGAGCAGCAGGTACATGAACCCAGCTGAGATCTGAGGAGCCGTATGTGCGTGAAAGATAGATGGCTGAAAAGGATAGCTGTGGATTATGGAGGAATATAGAAAGATGAGAAGAAAGCAGGCTTGTAAGGCTCAGATCAGAAAGTCAGTTCTATGAAGCTAAAGTTTATTCTTGTACGAAACAACATATGGAGGTCTGGCAGCAGTGTTTATTTGAGCTGAGAAAAGTCCTGCTTCTGACATTTATTTGCTCATACAAAGATCTGTGAGTGGCTATTTTTTTATTTATTTTTTGTTATGTTGGATTATAGGGAGGTTGAACATGGTGACAAATAAATCTGTTGGACAAAGTTGTCTTATTTTAGTGAATGAAAAAATGGTATATTTGACATCAACTCTAGGAGTTTTTCCACAATACAGAGGTGTCCAATGTCAGTGTTCGGTTTTACCACATTTTATCTCATTCATTCAATCATTCATTCATTTTCCTTCGGCCTAGTCCCTTTATTTATCAGGGGTCACCACAGTGGAATGAACCACCAACTTATCCTGTTTATGTTTTACACTGCGAATGCTCTTTCTTCTGCAACCCACCACTGGGAAACAACACACATACACTATGGCCAATTTAGTTTATTTGATTCATATCAAATCAAATCACTTTATTGTCACATCATCGGCAGCACGTGTGTTATGATGAGTGAAAAGCTTAGGTGCTGGCTCCAGACAGTGAAAAATACAGACAATGCAAATACAATGACAGTGCAAAAAAAAAAAACGAAAAAAAAAAAAAAAAACAGACAGACAGTAGAAGTACAACGGCAGTGCAAAATACAGACAGTGCAAATACAACGACATTGCAAAATACAGAAAGTACAAAATTCAACAGCATACTCCCAAAAAAACAGGACAATGTAAAATTGACAGCGATATGTACAATGAATAGGTGTCCACATAGTTGTAGGCAGTATTGTTTCAAGTATGGATTGGTTAAAGTGCAGTGCATGCTACATGTTGATAGTGTGCAGTGAGGGGTATGGAAGAATCTGTGTGAGGTGTGTTAAGTGTTCATCAGCCTGATAGTGTAAGTAAGGGAAGAAATTTTCCTTCAGTCGGCTAGTGTGTGATCGGATGCTGCTGAACCGTCTACCTGAGGGTAGAAGAGAGAAAAGTCTAATCGTCCTGAGGGTGGGTGGTTCCCATTTCAGCTTCTGCCTGTAAGCAGGCAAGAGCAGAACAGAAGAGTGATCTGATTTGCTAAACGGTGGGCGGGGGAGGGATTTGTAGCCGTCCCTGAACGGAGAGTAGCAATTCATATATTGCATACCTCTTTTACTGTAGAATCTTTCCAATAATTTCAAATAAATGCTGTTCTTTTTATAGTAATGTTTCATTCAATTCAATTAATTTCATGTTTATTTCTATAGTGTTTTTACAATGTAGATTGTGTAAAAGCAGCTCAACATAGAAGTTCAAGTAAATTGAAACTGTGTCAGTCCAGTTTTTAGAGCTGAAATTCAGTTTAGTTCAGTGTGGTGTTATTTTCACTGCTCAAAGTCCAAACCCTGAAGACCATTATAGAAATAATAGAAATTAAGGAAACAAATTATAGAAATTAAGGAAAAAACTAATAGAAATTAAGGAAAAAAAACTCTGAGAAAAAAACAGGTTTTGTTGGGCACAACCATTTCTGCTTTGGCAAGAGCTGCAGTCTAGGTGCAGGAGGCTGGAAAACACTGGACATCCATCGTGGAGAACTGCAGGTATACACTGGCGGGTGTTCAGGTGGCCCACATGATCAATGCAGAGACTCGTCTGTCACTGTGGTCTTTCAGAAATCAGTCTCATGCTCTCCACTCCTCTGTGACCGCCACAGCATCTTTTCAAGATATGGACTGGTCCAGGATTATGGAGACTTTGGCATAATTTCTTCACAGGTCTTGGATTGCATCAATGGCACTGCACAATTTCAAGAGGCCTCGGGTTGAGTATACCCAGGTGGAAATAGGGAATAAAGAGATGCAAAAATGAAGAGCTTTAAATGAAAATAGAGTTTATAGTTTATAATAGTAAGTTTATAGTTTGAACTTTATAAAGTTCATTTTTCAGAATATGAAATGTATTTACTAGTTTTGATCAATAAAAAAGCACAAGATAATGAATTTTTTAAGATTAAAAAATATTTATAGTATGCACAAAAACATGTAAAACCTTCGTCACAAATCGTCATCTCAAATACGTTTGTTTGAGGATTCTTACTGCTGCAGATGAACTGGATGTTGGAGGCCTTTAGTGAACATTACACATACAGTTTGAAGTATGCAGGGGATCTTTGCCATGGCATTTTAAAAATCATCATCATCACCAGCAGGACAGAAAACAAAAACACGCAACAAAATAGACTGGATTTATAGCAAAAGTGCTCAGTAGGTCCTCTTATATGCCTGTGGATGCTAAGAAGGGCAAGTGAAGGTGGCAGAGAGGATTATAGGCCACAGTTGTGGCCCCGTGGTGGCCCATAAAGAGGAGTTAATGGCTTGGTGTGGAGTGAGAGAACTTCTGTGCCACGAAGGCTGTGAAAAGCGATGACTTTTACAGCGTGCTGATGCACAGCCTGTCGCACGCTCCCCTTTTCTTCCTCGGCAGGGATTAGCAGGACTTTCTTTAGGATTTATAGCAAATGAACCGCTCTTAATGACGCCACAGTGTTCATCTCACATGCGCTGTCGTGCAGATAGTGCTTCGTACTCCACGTGAAACTCCCTCAGCAGGAGTATGTTTCTGTGGCATGAGGAAAGATGGTTCAGGGCTGGTCTCGGGTTGAGAGAGAAGGCTGCTCAATGTCACATTGAGGAGCTGGAGGAATACAAGATGGCAAAAAGTCATCCCTGAAAACAAGATGGCAAAATGCATGTGTAACGTGGGCTGATGTCTGACTAGGAACAGTGTGATGACCTGGGCAGAGTGTGGAAACTGAAAAAAAGGATGCGGTGACAGGAGTCAAAATACATGCAGCCCCCTGTTGAACACATAGGGCAGGTGTTGATCTTTCAAACAAACTCAGACAGCATATAGGCTATATTGTTAATGTATCTATATCTTACTTCCAGATTCCTGCTTTGATTAAGTTTATATGACTATGCCCCTGCATTTTGCTTCTCAGGAATACTGATGTTAGCAACAGTTCACATTAATGTCCACAGGATATTAGATTTTAAAAAAGGTGATTTTCAAAGATATTTCTGTGTAGTTTTGGAAAGTGTCCAAAAAACCCATATAAAAATCAGGTTTGTGATTTTTGTTCCCATCATTAAATTAAACTGACAAAATGAAAAAAATGACTTGTGATTGTATTAGTGTGAAAATATAATTTCTTATTTGACAGGCACTAGGACCCAAGGTGAAGCCACACTTGCCATATTATAAGGACAAAATAACTAATGAAAAATATATGAATACACCAACCTGTCTATCATAGATTCAGGCAATAGGCTACTTCTTTTAGAAATATATTCTAATGATTAATCAAATCAGATTTGGGATTTTATGATAAAACTTTTTGAATAAATTGTATTTTACTTTCATTTAGGCCATCTACTCCAAGGTGTACAGCGCCCCCTGTAGAAATCAAGCACTCCAAACATGCGGCTAATGGGGGATGCTGCACGTGCTGGACAAATGACGACCGACTAAGTGGCTGGTAATGTACGTCGAGACATTTTGTATTGGCATTTGCAATCTCAAGTAAGCAGTCGGAAACAGTGAATCTTACAAGCAAATATTCACCTCGGCAATGGCTAGACTGCTGAACATCTTTGCTAACGCTTCTGGCATGTAAGTTATTGTAAGCTCATAATATCGGCAAAGTATATTGGGATATTTTCCCCATCGATCTGTTTAAGATATACCCTGACAGACACTATTGACTGATTATTCTGACATTAGTTAGACCTTGCAGGACGTCCTGAAATTATACGTTTGGGTTTAGGGTATTTAAAGGCTGTTGTCATCCAATGGAGTAGGCCTATGCACACAGCCAGCCCCAGGGCTTCTTTCCATTATAAAATCACCACGTTTATGGTCTGATTTCTTTAAAAATCTGCTAACGTCACTACCTGATAGGTCTTAGATCGGACAAAAGCACTGCATTAAATTCCATTTTCCCCCGCCATGTGTTTAAATATTAGTTTATTTTTACCATTTTCAATGGAGTGCGCTAGCTTGCTGGTACTAAACAAATGCATTTTAATGACATTACAAAATCAATGCTATTGAACCTTATGAAATTTAAAATAGTCACCTTAAGCTTTTACTGGAAGTTTATCATTAGCTGAAAAACACCAAGTTAGCTGTGTAAATACCCCATGTAATGTATAGGCCTACTTAGGACTGGGCCGATTAAAGATATATCGAATCGTGATAAAATTTGTCAATAGCTATGATAAGCTCTGGACTTTTTTACTCTATGAAAGCCAGTCCCACAGCAGAAATGTGCAACAATGGGAATCTAAATTAAGTGTTGATATTAGAGATGTAACAAATGTTATGTCATTTGGTGGACACTAATTTTTGTGGATTCAGTCATTGAGGTACTCTTAAAACTGGAAACATTAACAACTCACAGTACATCAAAATATATATCATTATCATTCATTATGGAAAAATATTATTGAGATAGCATTTTGACGCATTGCCGAGCCCTGTTAGGCCTTTACTGAAAGTGAAAATTGCTAACACTAGTTGCATCAAACAGGTGATTTACTCTCACTACAATAGATATCAGTATGTAGCCTCTAATAATTTGAAATGCTTTTGACCTTTAAAGTCAAATAACACTGCTGTGTGGTAATAGACTGAAGCTTTTTTTTACATCAACTGCTCTCTGTCAACTTGAACAGATCTGAATGTCCACTGTCGTTGTATTTTAAGTGTTTAATTGGCAAAAACGAATCAGAAATTTAACACATTTGATTCAAGGTCTTAAACTATTAATATTAATAAATAAGCTAACACTGTTTTTAACTATTTAAATAGGTTTCAAGATATAGAATAACTATCATTTTGAACAAAACAACACGCATACTACTCTGCAGTGTAAAATTAAGGATGCTTGTGCTTTAGACTGTTGTGAACGCTACACTGTTTGCTAAGGCTAGGTTAAAAAATAATAATTGATGATTGATTATTTTGCTTTATAAGGCCTGTATCATCATGAGGAGCCAAGGGTATTAAATGTGTCTTTCTATTATGTGTTTTTTTTCTTACTTTTGAAGTGCCTGTATCTGTTGGATTACTAAGGATCCATTGGACTACAACAAAAAATCTTTAATGTTCTACTGGAGGAAAAAGTTGCACCTTGGCTGTTCTGGGGTGAGTAAATGAACAGCTTATGTCTGTTTTTATTTTTTAATGCATTCCAATGCTTTTTTGAAAGGGTCAATATGTAATATCAAATTGTCTTCTTTGACCAATCGCTTGCTTTTATTGAGTTCTATATAATGACTCTTATAACGCAGTGAATACTGTACGGTACCTGGGACAGTTGTTATGCAGATGACAAGACAGCATCAACAAAGCATTCATTCATTCATTCATTCATTTCCTTAGGCTTAGTCTCTTATTTATCAGGGGTCACCAGAGCGGAATGAACCACCAACTATTCCAGCATATGTTTTACGTAGTGGATGCCCTTCCAGCCGCAACTCAGTACCGGGAAACTTCAGCAAAGCATTTATCATGAAATTAACACACTGTAGAGCTTTCTAAGCCCAGGGCTTCTATGATGAAGGCACCATGGTGAAAGTGAAGCCTTGGGTTACTCTGAAAGGCAAACTCTGTCATCTCACCTGTCATGCATGACCAGGCACAAAATATGGAGTGACTAGTGCTTTAACACTTTCTAAAGGGTGACAAAAAGTAGGGCTGTGTTAAAGTGTCAGATTTACGAAATCAGAGCTGCAAGCAAACATCTTTTTTTTTAGCTGAATGGAGGTCAGTGATGTGACCATTTTTATTTTTTTAATGCTACAAATACAGTGATAAAGGTTAATTTTATTACAAGTCACTTGTGGTTTGAGGTATGACATAATTTATGACATTTTCTGAATTTCGTTAAATGTGAATCACTTCTGTGACTACATAAAAAGGCCATTTTTTAAAGGAGAAATTTCAGTGGAGTAGAGCAACATTTCTACATCCTCTACAAATATTCCTTCAGTAGTAGGCATTAAAGCCCTTAAAATATAACACTCTTAAAATGAAAGAATTTTCTACATATTCCACATAGTCCATATAATTTCCTTTTGCCACTTGATGATATTTGTACACGCTAGTTTGACATATTTTTTAGATTATTTTAGATTTAGATAATTAAAGGTCATAGTGATTCTTTTCAATCTTATTTTTGTAAATAACTGTAAAAAGAAATGTTTAAAGAATCTCAAAATCAATAATACTATTTTAGAAATGTGTTTTTTTATATATATAATTTCATATTCTTTTATCGGTTGGAGAACGATAGTGATGCGCGGATGGCGGTTATATCCACGGGCACTGTGGATTATCCGCCGGTCGGGTAATAAAAAAATTCGATATGATTCATTGCGAGTGGGTGAATGTAGCGGGACATGATAGTGGACCAGAAACAAAACAGAGAGTGGGCTTTAGTTGAGACACCCAAAATAATGGATGAAGTGCAAGAGTAGCGTACTGTTCAAAGTTTCAGTTATAGGAGTCCTCAGAGGAAAATCTGCTTTTGTTCTGGGGGAATCAAGATCGCTTATTTCCACGACTGCAGTGCCTTGCGAGTAGAATCTTCATTCTTATTCATTCATACAACAAGGTCTGCGAGCGAATGCTCATTCATTGCAGCTTGCTGCGTTTTGGTGGCGGGCGAGGCCCAAATCCAGGCACAGTAGATGCTATTCTGTTTTTTCAAAGTGTGAAGGAAAAGGCCAAGTAAACATAACATAGCTGCCGTTTAGGCTAAAGTGACATCTGTAAAAGCAAAAATGTCTTATTTTTACTTTCTGTATTTGAAAATAAAGAAAATGTTGTCTGAAGACAAACTGTTGTTTTTTATAAATAAATATTAATTTAAAAATGTTTAAAATTAATGTATTATTTTATTATCAGAGATGTGCGGATTAGCTCACTGAATCTGCTGTTAATATCCACGGTGACTTATCATCATGCCTAAAATGAAGAATTAAATTATTATCGGGTGCAGGTCAGGTGCGGATACATATATCAGATAAAACTAAATGTACAGGGCGGGTGGCGGGATAATTTGTATAAAGCCGTGGATTCGGTTGTCATTTCAGGTGATCCGCGCATCTCTAGTGGACGATGTAGATTTGGTCATTGTTGTTGGGAATTTCATTATCACTGAATTTTCTAGCTGAGGGGGGAGAGGGTGTCCTCCGGCTGCTCCTGTTTCCCCCATAGGTGAATTGAATTAGCTAAATTGGCTGTAGTGTATAAGTGTGAATGATATGGGTGTTTCCTAGTACTGGGTTGCAGCTGGAAGGGCATCTGCTGTGTAAAACATAGGCTGGATAAGTTGGCGGTTCATTCCGCTGTGGGGATCCCTCAATCAAAAAGGGACTAAGCCGAAAAGAAAATGAATGAAGGAACATGTTGCTGTGATATATCTGCATGTCAGTTACCTTTTGAAACATTTTGAAATTAGCAAAGACACTCAAAATGTGCAAATTCTAGGTCACTAAACTAAATAGACAGACTGTCATGAGATTGCCACAACGCCTTATCATCATTCCCCTCACGATGTCAACTCTGTCACCTGTTGCCACAACGGCCATCTGTGCTGTGCATCAGCGCCTGACAGGTTTCAGGAACACGATCTCCAGTTATTGCAACGTAACAAAAATAAAGAAATAAAAAGAACATTTATTCCAGAGAACTCTTAAGTAATGCCGCCAAAATGGCACTATTACTGCATAATGCAACCAAAGACTTCAAAGATATGATATTTATACAGTATATTTTCATTTCAGCAGTCCTCAGGTATTTAAAATGTGAAGCACAGTTCTCTTAATGCCCCTGAATGAGTCAAAATTTAAAGATGTTAAGGATCTTTAGTTAACGGTAATTTAATATCTCATGACCTTTGTCATACACTGAACTATTTGCGATATTACCTGACTTCGAGATGTTTAACCTTTGTCATGTTATGAAGATAAAAATGCAGTTGTCTGAATTCTCTAATAACCTTTATTACAAACGCCTGGAAATACCCCCAAACAGATATTGTCTCATATTTGCTTGTCTATTTGCTTTCTGGTGCACAAATGCATTCTCTCAGTATCAGAAGTTATTTCCTGAAAGGAAGAAGAAAACAGGATTCGTTCTTATTAAAAGGAAGTTTAGAGCAGCTAGGATTTGCTCAAGGCTTATCAGATTCTTCTGCTGATGTCTGGATTGACTAATTCTTGATCTGAGCTAGTGAAATGACATTTTTGCATGGGCGGCCACTGGGTTGCTGTTCCCTCTGGAAGCAGACTGCATGCATATTTAATATCGCCGATATGCATTGACTTTAATGGCTCGCTTTGAAAAGAGAAAGAACTTTTTTTTTTCCAACTTAAGAGAAGGGATGTACATCCGCCTCACATCTAGAAGCTTCTTCCTGTACGTCTAGTAACTAAAGATCACTTGATTAATATTACATATTTTTTCCGAAGCAATTTTATTCATTCATTTTCTACACTTGAAAAGTGCTTATTGAAAAATAGGTTTGTGATGTGTTACAAACGGAATTGATAGTTCCAGTCCTTGATTCTGTTTGGTTGAGCCTGGTTCAAAGCCATTATAAATTATTCTACAAACTCACACCTGTGACCTCATTACATCGCTATTACTGTACCTCTGTCTTTTGTTGTGGTTTCATGTATTATATATTTCACAATTAACAGATAAAGCACTATTAACAGTTTATTATTTAGTCAGTGAAGTATGAGTGAGCCCTACTGGCTTTATGTCTGCGTCATTCGTCATTTATTTTGAGAACGTGCCCTTCCCCACCTAAGCTATCTGACAATAATTTTTGTCACATGGCAAGATGACAAATTGTTTTTCAGATGAGCTTTGGAATTTAAGTTAATCTGTTTATGTCCTCCAATGCTATAGTGTAACAACACCTGCTTCGGTGTGTGTAAGGTGAGCCAAAGGGCACTATTCATTCACACAAATGAAAATAATCACATGTGGTTTAAATGGATGGTTTACCTCAAAATGAAAATTGACTCTATTTAGTCACTCTTAAGTAGTTCCAAACCTTTGAGTTTCTTTTTTTTTTTTTTGAACAGAAATATATATTTTGAAGAATATTAGAAACAAGTAACTATTGACTTCCATAGTTTTTGGTTTTCCTACTATAGAAGTCATTGGTTACTTGTTTCTAACATTCATCAAAATATCTTCTTTCGTGTTAAAGAGGAAAAAAAATAGTCATACAGGTTTGCGACAAGTGTAGGGTAAGTAAACAATGACAGAGTTTTCAGTTTTGCGTGAACAATCACTTTAATATTTATGAAAATATATATTTTGATTTGGTGTTCATAGAACTGGATTCCAAGCAGTACGGTGGCTCAGTGCTTAGCACTGTCGCCCCACAGCAAAAAGGTACCAGTCCTGAATAGTTAGTGGTTCATTCCGCTGTGGCGACCCCTGATAAATAAAGAACTAAGCCGAAGGAAAATGATATATGAATGACTGGATTCCATGGTTCTTTCTGTGATTTCAGCATCATAAAATAAATAAAGACTAAGAAACCTGGTGTAGCATGCATGAAGCTTGTGGTGTTTTCAAAAAGTGTTGCATATTGAGGACATTAACGTATGCTTTATCTCCAGAGCTGCTCTCAGAGTCACTTCACTAGTATTTTCCTCTTTACCTAGCCTCATATTATATACAAACAGTCTCAAAAGTCTTCATGGCAACCCATTCAAGATACACGTTCCATTTATCTTGGAGAACCAAATTACTGTTTTATTAAAATCATTTTTATATAAAATCATTTTGTGCAACCACTCTTGGTAACATTATCAGTCAATAAAATCTTAAAGGTGCAGTCGGTGATTGTCTTCAGAAACATTTTTTTTGTGGTACTGTTTTCGTAACAATCTAATAGTAATGATTAAATGATCTAAATGTTTTTATATGTATTTTTAAATTCTGGGTAAGGCATAAGACTAAAAAATGTTCATCCAATTAAATTGCCATAATTTAACAAAGTGTTGTTCAGCCATTTAAATCTTCTGGTGAACGATTGATGTGACTATTTTCAATTAGGGATGCAACGATTATAGATTGTGGTCGTACGATTATAGTCTAAGGAAACAATCACGTTT